AAAAAAAAGCACGCACGGCAGCATCACGCAGCCCGCACGACCAGCCCTGCAGCACCGCAGCAAATAGGAGCGCCTGGCGCGGCGCAAGCGAGCCGCCTGCCTGCCTGCCGTGCCATGCCGTGCCATGCCGCACCGCCCGCCCTGCCGCCATGCATGCATGCACGCCCGCCAACCGAGTGCGTGATGTGCGCTTCGCCGACCTCGCTTATCGATGCGCGCAGGGGCTGCGTTTTTGCTGCCGCTGCGTGCGTGCGTGTGTGCGTGTGTGTGTGCGTGCTCTGTCGCTTGCGCGCGCGCGGGACGAAGGGACGGCTTGGATAAAAGAGAAAGAGCAAGGGATTGGCTGAGCGAGCAGGAAGGATTCGCGAAAGAGACGCGCCGTGAGGGGGTTGCGTACATAGGTACGCACAGGCGTGGCGCGTGGGGGTAGGAGGTTAAGTGCACCCTCTCGCGCGGGACGCGGGACGTTGGCGCGGCTAAGGGGGTGCGTAAGGGTGATGGTAAGGATAAAGCGGTGGGTGGGTGTTTGAGGGGTGCAGACTGCAGCAGCTTCTGTGGGTGATGAGTGCTGGAGCAAGCGATGGATGGACTGACCGTCAGATGGACTGATCAAATCATCCAGCCTGCCGCCGCCGCCGCCGCCGTCGTCGTGGTCCTGGTGGTGCGATCGCGAGCGTCCAAGGATGCCGCCGTATGAGGTAAAAGCGCCAGGGACCTCGCGTCCGCGCCTGGACGATGATGTCGTCAAGGCGTGGGGTGCGTACGTGCGAGCGCGCTGCCAATGTAGGCGTACGTCAGGGTCTGCGGTCTGCGTTGTTGTTGGCTGTGGTGGTGGTGGTGGTGGTGATCAGGCCATGGAGGTAAGCAAGCAAGCAAGCCGTCTCTACGTACGGACCCGTATACACTCACGGTAAGACGCACGCACGCACGCACACCCGCGCATCAGGGTCGCGCGCCAGCCACGCCGCGCCACGAACTGCGGCAAGGTCTGCCTTCGCACAGGCTGGCTTCCAGGTAGTTAACTAGACCAGACTAGAAGGCAGGATCATCGGACATGACCAACCAGTCGCGAGGTCCTCGCCAAGCCCTACCCAGGTCCAGCCCAAGTCCAGGACCAAGTCCAGTACTAGCTCCAGCGCCAAATCCAGGGCCCCAAAGCGTTTGTGCAACACGAGGTTGGCGCCGAAAAACGCCGTCGAAGGGCAAGCAGAAGGAACGAAGGCGTGGGATGGATCGCCGGGTCCGCTGCGTTTCGATCGGGTTAAAAAAA